CACATTCAAATTTGTACGACCTTCATATTTAAGGTTATGTTGTTTTTTATATCAAGTTATATCAACATGTTCCACATTCAATAGTCATGCATCAGGAACAGAAAGAACTAGCTGAAAAGAACAGAAAGTCAATTCAGTACCAAAAGTACTCAATTAAATCACATCATATGAATTGCCAAAAATCATAAGGTATTTTCTTTTTCATTTGGAAGAATAATGTTCATCCCTTGACAACATGATTCTATTTATTACATATTTACAACGCAAAATAAATCAGAGAGCTAGTAAAATGTGTTCCTTAACTATTTCTAATAATACAAGAGTAAAGTGGGCATGCAGGAAGCTCTTAAACACTAACTACTCCTAAAACTGCATCCTTTATGCATTACATGAGTAATACAGTCCTAAACCTACTAGACATACAGTGTTTAGCAGATACCCTATGTGTGACTCACAAAGTGGAAATAAACCAGATTTACATGATTCACAAAAAAAAAAACCAGGTTTTAAGTAATTGTGACAATTTATTTTCTTTTCCATTTAACAATTTTTCACCTTAAATGCCACAACAACTCTCTGAGGAAAGAAAACTTTTAATTCAAAATTTCATTAACTATAAATACTGACACACAAAACCAAAATAAAGTGCCCATTTCTCAAACAGGTTAGTGTTGAGACAAAAAGTAGCTTTCATGCTTATAACATCAAATCTTTCTATACCTTCCGTATGAGTATCATCTTGTGTATAGCACAGCATGAAAGCTGAAACAAAATCAAGAGGATATGAAAACAATGGCAACTTGTGTTCACACATTATATCTTGGATATGTTAACACGCCTACTTTCGATCTGGAGTGAGTGGGAATCGTGCATCTGTTTCTGCTGGTCAACCACAGTTCTGTACAACTACACATTCAGAGTATGGGCAAATTCATTATCTTTCATGTAATACCCAAGTTATGAAATGAGGAGTTCATATTTCACTGCATCCTGTACATCCATATGTACATCAGCGATGTTGAAAAAATTTCTATCAAACATTCTCTTTAAAAACATGCCTCACCAAGACCTTACAACACAACATTGGATAGATTTGTTTTCACATGATATGCACTTCACAAAAAATTAATAATGTAATTTGTTTTTCTCTGCATAACATCAATACTACCATCATTGTATGACATTATACTTCTGGAAAAAATAAAATGAAAATTATAAATGCAGAACCTATGCATACAATACATAACTGACTGCAAGGAACTTCTGCATATATGGGACACTACTAATTATTAGTTCTTGTATATGTCTTGAATTTATTAATTAATACAGAAAATATGACAACTTCTTACACTGTCATTGTTATGCATATTAAAAATGACACATATTTTATACTCAGTTTATACAGTAGGATAAAAGAAACTGTTTTATATATAGTAGTGCTGTTTTTTAATACCTCTGCCAATCCTGAAGTTAAGTACAGGTATTACTAGTACTATTATTATTTTTGAGAGCTTAGAGCACTATAGCACACAAATATGTAACTTTACATCATCATTTCTAAACACAATTTTTCAAATGTCACAGTCAAGTGGATAGCATTCCTGCAATCTTTTTCTTCAGCCCTACAGGCAAATGTTAGGATATTATTTCAAACAGGCCCCCACTGTTTCCTTCCATAACCTTTAAAATTCATTATTCACTAATCATTCAATCATTCAACGCTATATAATCTGTGGTACTAAAGCACCATGAAACAAATGAAAATAAATAAATAAATAAGACAGCTCCAGTTCTACAATATTAGGCCATAGCAGCTCTTTTTTTTTTAAATGCTGTCACATCTCCAATTCTCACTGGACAATAACAAGTTACCTCGCCTCAGTTAATAAGAGAGACATCACTGCCCTACAGTGAGTTCTTATTTTAATAAGAGTGCAAGTGTATTCTGTACAACATACTGAAGTCTACAATATCCACATACCTGTCCACTTAAAATTTTCAAATGCTTACTTTACTGTCTCCACAGGATAAAATACCAAGACAACTATATCAGAAATGGGAGAGAATAATACATTAAAATATTATTTGGGGTTTCTATATAATAACCAGCACAACTCCAGTAATAAAATTCCTCAAAATTATGTAATAACTTATGTACATTATAGCTTCTGGGATGACACTACTTTTCAGACAATGGTTAAATTACAATTCTAAATCGAGAAATATATTCTTCAACCATAATACATAAAGTATTTCAGGAACTTGGGTATTACCTTGAAACAGCACTAAAAATGGGCAAGACCAATGTTGTTAACATGTAAAACTCTCAGAGATTATCTAACAAAACTTAAAGAGAAACAAAAAGATTTATCAAGTCTTTAAGAACTTAAGAAGGAGCTATATGGAAATTACCCTTAAGTACATAAATAAACAGTTTCAACAGTCAAGCAAAGTGCACACTATTGTTATATCAACAGCAAAGTTCTATTATTGGAATATCAAACATTAAATTTCATATTCTTAAGTCTGTCAGCCCAGTTCCAGTGCTGCCCTCTCAAGATGCTGAACCAAAACATGAGGCAATGCATACATAGTCGCAATCCTGAGAAGTTCATCATTCATTAACATTGCACTGCACTGGAACATGACTATACTTGGCAATGAGGAGCATACTTACGTACTGTTGTAGGATCACCATCGTTGTTTGGGGTGGTAGGTGAGGCTACAAGATGCAGAGAGAACAGAAAACACATGTCACAACACAACACAATGCAAACAAGCAACAACATTGTTAAGTATGTATTAATAAATAATGTACATGCTTGCTGGCTTTTCATGCAAATAAAATTCTACCTCACTTTCAATTCTACTTACTTTATTCGAACCACCTACATACTATACACAACATTCTATTAACCTTTTGGCTGCTAAGCCACACCATAGAACTACCAGTTATAAATGCCAAGGTTGCTTGAGGATAATGAAATTATACAGAAAGAAACCCAGAATACTTTCTCAAATAACCACATGTGAAAGTCTATTCTTTCCTCTTAAACACAGGTACAGTGGAACCTCGCTTAACGAGCACCTCTCATAACGAGCAATTCACATAATGAGTGATGAGAGGGGAAGTCCCGGATTGTGCGCTTGCTACATCAGTCCGTGTTTAGCGCTCGTTCCGCTAGCATCTTAGTGTCGCTTGTGATCACACATTTTTCCAAACTTGTGTTCAGACATATTATCTATGATTTTTTTTGTGCAAAGTTGAATAACCCTTGCAAAAATGTCCCTGAAGAAAAAGCCGCACAAAGACAGCCATAAGAGAATAAAAATAACTGTACAAATGAAACATAAAATCATTGAAAAGCGAGAACGAGGTGTGAGCATGGCTGATCTAGCACGCACATACAATCGGTCTACATCAACGATTTGCACTATCCTCGAGAACAAGGACAAGACTAAGGAGATAGATGCTTCAAAGGGAGTGACAAGAATATCTATGCAACGGTTATGTATTCTCGACAATGTTGAAAGGTTGCTCCTCATATGGATAAATGAAAAGCAATTGCAAGGCGACACTATTAATGAGAACATCATTTGTGAGAAGGTGAAAGTGATTTTTGTCAACCTCGTTAAGAAGACGCCAGGATCATCAATGGCCGAAGAAGAAGCATTTAAGGGAAACCGTGAGTGGTTCAAGAAGTTTAAGAGAAGAACCAGCATCCACAGCGTTGTAAGGCACGGTGAAGCAGTAAGCTCTGACACATAGGCAGCAGAGAACTTCATCGGCGACATCAAGAAGCTCATAGATTCTGAGGGTCACCTGCCACAACAGGTTTTTAATTGTTACGAGACAGGTCTCTTCTGGAAAAAGATGCTGAAGCAAACCTATATAACAGCAAAGGATAATGCACTGTCCGGCCATAAACCAATGAAAGACCGTCTCATGCTGCTATTTTGAGCCAATGCAAGCGATGATTTGAAAATTAAACCACTGCTTGTTTACCATTCAGAAACTTCACAATCCTTCAAGAAGTGTAAAGTCCTGAAGAGCAGGCTAAATGTGATGTGGAGGTCCAACAACAAGGCTTGGGTGACATGTGACCTTTTTACTGATTGGATCAATGAAGTGTTTGGTCCTTCTGTGAAACAATATTTGCTTGAGATGAATCTGCCACTCCATGTCTTGCCTGTTATGGAAAACGCTCCTGCCCATCTTCCAGACCTACAAGATGACCTCCTTGAAGAATTTAAATTCATCAAGATCCAGTTTCTGCCTCCCAACACTACTCCGTTACTCCAGCCTATGAACCAGCAGGTTATTTCTAACTTTAAGAAGTTGTACACTAAAGCACCCTTCGAGCGTTGTTTTGAGGTGACTGAAGGGACCAATCTCACTCTCAGAGAGTTTTGGAAATATCACTTCCACATCGTTGCCTGCCTCAAGATGATCGAATCCTCACTTCTGCTTGGAAGAAGCTTTGGCTGGAGAGCATTGTCGAATGTGACTTTGAGGGGTTTGAGATAGTACCTGTGGAGCCTGTAGTCAACGAGATTGCATCTTTGGCCAAGATCATGGGGCTGGAGGTGGATAACGATATCGATGAGCTTGTGGAAGAGCACAGTCAAGAGCTGACCACCGAAGAGCTTATGGAGTTGCATTGTGTTTCACAGCAACAAGTTGTGGAGGAGAGTTTGTCAGAGGATGAGGAGGAGGTAACAGCAAAGCATCAATCTTCTGGCGCAATGCTGAAAACATGGGACACTGTTGCATCGTACATTGAGAAGCATCACCCTAATGAGGCAGTGGCTATGCGCACTACAAATGTATTTAATGATAATGCTGTGTCGCATTTTCACCAAATTTTGAAGCGTCGGAAAAAACAAATGTCTCTAGAGAGCTTTCTAGTAAAAAAGAATTAGATATGTATCATAAATAATAAACTAATTATTTCGATTTTTTTTTCTGCAAATCAAATTCGCATTCCAGGTTGTTTCATTCCGCATAGAAGAAAACATTAGGACGATTCATGCTCCTTAACAATGTATATATAATTTTCTTTGAATAAACGTCATAAATAAAATTTGTTGAGTATTTTTTTCAGCGTGGAACGCATTATCATATTTTACATTAATTTATATGGAAAAAATTGTTTGCTTAACGAGTGTTTTGCATTACGAGTAAGATTCTGGAACGAATTATGCTCGTTAAGCGAGGTTCCACTGTATATCACATTTCATATCACTTGTTCACAGAAATGTTGTAGTAATTAACAATAAGCTGCTCTCTTTGGCTGTGGAAGTGTTAATGCAAGAGCCCTAAGCCAATCTAACTGGCTCATGGCATGCTGAGTGTCCAGTTTATCCTCATGCATACATTAATGCTCCCAGGATGTCTGCATATTCTGGTGTGATTACCTACTGTAACAGTTATGAAAGGTTGCTTGATCAGTCAAAGTAAATTTATTACTGGACAACTCGTATAACATAATTAAACAGAAGGTTCACATTAATTTTCAAGGAATGTATTTTCAAATTACTGCATTACTGTTGCATAGGTATTTTATATAGACAAAATCAGAGTACAACAAGATGTTAACTATCATTTTTTTTCATAGAAACATTATAGTTTGGAAACATGCAATTTGTTACAAAGCCATACGAAAACTTAGTAGTGAAAAATAGAAAAATATTTTGCATCAGGTTATCTGTCTGGGTATCACTTAATTGTTAGAATGTATACAATATTTCAGCCTTAAATTCATGCAAATACACACACAATCAAGGTTAAATATTTCTGCATATCTGGCATAAAAGATCTGTGCCCAACTGCACATATTAAATGTAGCTGTAAAATTTGTAGTAATGCAGGGAATAAGTAAAGCAAATGGTTGAAAAACATTATAAAATTACTGGGCACTTAGCACGATTTATAAAGATTCTGAAAAGAAATGAAGTTTAAAACATATTATGTGGTTTGTAAAAGAAAAATTTTTCAGTAACCATGCATCATGCAATTTATGACCATGGATATACATGGAGCGAACAAAATAATGGAAATACTAAGAAACTGAGGAATAGCATTTCTTTGTTGACTACCCTGAAAGAACTTCAGTTGGCAAAACTGAATGTTCTTCTGTTTCTTTACACTCTGTAGTGCTCATGTCAGTGTATTAGTGATTATGTTGATAGAAAGCCTGTGTGAAAGAATCTGAAAATGGGACACATGTCTGATTTTGAAAGAGGACAGATCGTTGGTGCGCATCTGTGATAAAAACTGCCATATTATTTGGTGTATTGAGAGCAACAGTTTCTAAGGTTATATTAGCATACACAAACTAAGGGAAGACAGTAACAGCAAAGAGGAAGAGAGGGTGAAAATCAACACTGACAGAAACAGATGATTGTACATTGAGGACTGTTTTGAAAAATCACACCACTATTGCAGCACAGGTGAACTGCAGCAGAGCTGAATATTCATCTTGAAGACCCTGTTTCCATGAAAACTGACTGATGTGAGCTTCATAAATAAAACATCCACAGTAGAGCTGCAATTGCTAAACCTCTGATTACTGAAAGTAATGCTCAGATGCATAAACGATTTTCATTCACACAACACTTCCATCCACAATGCAACTCGTTTATTATCCACCTCTCCTTCTCCTCACTACAAGTTTCAGCCATATATGGCCATCATCAGGTGTCTCTATTTGCTAAAACTGTTCCACTGTGTAGTATTTGGAACTTCACCTCTCACATGTGAATGTGATATCCCACAATTAAAATAAATATACCCTATTAAAATCATTAATAATTAAATAAAGCCTGATTAACATTTGAATATTTTTGCTTGGGGCTGTCGTCCTTTTATCCTACTATCCTTGTTTGAATACACCTATACACATGGAAGAAGAACAATACTACTAACAGGAAGGGCGAAGAACAGTCAAAATGACATACGTAATAACTGCACCAACACTACTGGGAACTACATATATACACAACACCCATGCCACTGAAAAAACGAATTCAAACACAAGGATAATGGCTAAAAGAACAACAGCCCCCAAGCAAAAATACTGAAATTTTAATCAGGCTTCATTTGATTATTAGTTATTTTTAATAGGACACATTTATTTTAAGTGTGAGATATCACATTCATAAGTGAAGCTGCACATGCTACACAGTGAAACAGTTTTAGCAAGTAGGGACACCTGATGATGGCCATATACAGCTAAAACATGTAATGAGGAAGAAAGGGAGATGATAAACGTGCTGCATTATAGACGGAAGTATAGTGTATGAATGAAGAATATGTTAGTATGCTTAAATACAATAGCATAAATGATGGTGTCATGACCCTAAAAACTTGACACCAGATAACTGGACATGCGCATGTGATATGATCAAATGAGTCATCCTTCATGCTATTCCCTAGATCATGAAGAGTTTAAGTTTGGTGAACACCCAAGGAAGCCTACAATCTAAAATGCCTGATTCAAAAGTGAAACACGAGGGAGGTTCTATGATGGTTTGGGCAGAAATATCGTGGTAGAGTATTCTGTTGGTCCCATTATTACCCTTATTGGTCGAATCACTGCAAGGGAGTGAGTGGACAGGTTGGGTTATCAGGTGCATCCCATGGTCCAGATGTTATCTCCAAACAATGATGCAGTTTTCCTGGACAATAATGCCTCCACTCACACAGCTGAAAGTGTTCAGTCACGGTGTGAAGAGCATGAAGGTCAACTTCAACATCTTCCATGGCCAGCACAATCACCAGATTTCAACATCACTGAACCACTCTGGTCAGTTTTGAAGACCAGAGCGAGGAACAGATTCCCACCTCCAACATATCGTAACGCGTTTCGTTACTGAAGACGCCACAGAGATTGTTAATTGGTTTATTCAACAACCTACAAGTAACGGCTACAATTAATTATAACAATGTTGGGGGGTTTCACAATTTATAAACCCTACAACCAAATCTCTTCACACTATCTTCAAGAGTCTTCACGTATTAATAACGCTGGAGCTATACAAATCTCTCTTAATTACACACTCCCAATATAACTGTACTACAGCACACACAAAGTCTTCCACTCGGTGACTTCTTAGTTATTGCACACTGTCACAAAATCTTATCACCACGCGTTCGGGTCTTCTTACCGTGACTGCTGCTATGTTTCAACTCGCCTCGCAGGCATTGCAGCTCTCTTANTTTGTCCCGAATAGCCTAACGGTGCATCCCCGTTCCTTTGCTTCGGAGGCTGTTCTTGCAGCATCTGTTCTCCAGCCGTTACAACCGCTCCATTCTTAAAACCATCTTGTCTCGAGCGGTTTCCTTTCAGCTCGCCAGAAGATCCAGTTGTATCCCATTCATCCATCGCTTTCTCCCATGGCACATTCACTCTCTCTGGGGAGGCCGGTTCTTCTACATTACCGGTTTCTCCTCTGCTTGAAGTCTCCTTTTCCGTTTTGGAGGGGGTCTATCCCTCCATAAGTTCCAATCCTTGTGTTGCCATAGGCTGACAGAAGATCCAACCATTCCCTTTGCGATCTTCACGCTGACAATCTTGTAGATGGTCTTCTTACAATTTCTCCCTTCTTGGTGCGATCGCTGTCCTGATCTACACCCTCCGATGACGTCCTTGGTTGTCACCTTTTCCATCTGGCATCCGAAGGTTCCCTGGGGAGTTTCCTTCTTGAAGGCATTTCTCCAACATCGTGCCACTGTCGCACGACGGGATGTCTTCCTGCAGGTGGCAGCCAACTTCATCCAGGGTTCATAGTCTCCTCGGGTCCAAGTTTTTCTGATGATTTTCCTTCGACGCAATGCCACTGTTGCATGGCAGAACACCTTCCTACGAACGACGGCCAATTTATTCTGGGGTCCGCAATTTTCCTGTGTCAAAATTTTCTTATTTCGTCGATTTCGGTCCCTACGCCTTTTCTTCTTCAGTTCTCCGACCGGCATTACTTTGGCGTCTTTTACGGGTACCTCTCGTAGATCTGCCGCCTCAGGTTTCCTGTGCACTAAGGCCGGCTTTTCATCTTCTGGACGTGCCTCCATTTCTTGGCAGGCCATCGTCTCTCCGACCGGTATTATTTCGGGGACCTCTTCTTCTTGTGCCGTGCTTGCTTGGGTTCCTCTTGTCTCCGCAGCAGTCTTTTCTCGCCAGGCGGCCATCTTGACTCTGATTGCTTCAATTTTATGTTGGAGTGTCTCATCAAACTCTGATGGCACAGATTGCACTTCGGCCTTCAATTCTTCCTTGTCGGCCGCCGCCTTTGGCCATTAAATCCTCTTTGTCTGCATCTGCTTTTATTTGGTTGGCCTCCATTAAGGCCAGCAATTCTCTATGGCCGGTTTTCCTATCGGCCTCCATCTTTTCTTGGTAGGATCTCATGTTGGCGTCCATTCTGTCTTCCATCCGCACTCGGTCAGCATCTGCTTTTACTTGGTTTGCCCTCATCTCTTCTTGATGGGTTTTCATGCTGGTGTCCAATTTTGCCTCCGTTTTTTCTTGGCTAGCTCTGATTTCCTTGAGAAGCATTTCCATCATTTGCTGCATCTCCATTTTGTAGCAGTAAGATGCTTGATGCACAATAATTCAATTATTTATCGAGGCATGTTCAAGTTCGTAAACCAATTCTGACACCAAATATAACGTGTTTCAAGTTTGAATCTCGTTGGTCACGTGTGTAAGTCCAAATCCCACTTCTGACACCAAATGTAACGCATTTCGTTACTGAAGACGCCGTAGAGATTGTTAATTGGTTTATTCAACAACCTACAAGTAACGGCTACAATTAATTATAACAATGTTGCGGGGTTTCACAATTTATAAACCCTACAACCAAATCTCTTCACACTATCTTCAAGAGTCTTCACGTATTAATAAGGCGGGAGCTATACAAATCTCTCTTAATTACACACTCCCAATATAACTATGCTACAGCACACACAAAGTCTTCCACTCGGTGACTTCTTAGTTATTGCACACTGTCACATAAAATCTTGTCACCACGCGTTCGGGTCTTCTTAACACGACTGCTGCTATGTTTCAACTCGCCTCGCAGGCAGTGCAGCTCTCTTATATAGTGGCTGTGTTTGCCTGTTACATAGCAACACTGTTGGAAGTTGGTTACGGGTACGTAGCGTTGCGCGTTACGTCACTGCGGAGGGGGGGGGAGCGCTGACTCATCCGCCATGTCACTGTGGCCTGAGTTGCCACATTGCTGCTGGGTAGGGAGGGGTTCTCCGTTGCGCAACATGTCACAATATCTAAAGCAACTTGAAGATGTTCTTCAAGAATGGTATAAAATTCCGCTAGAGACTGTTCCAAACTTGCATTGGTCCATTGCAAGAACAACTGCAGCTGTACTGAAAGAAAAAAAAAGGTGGCCCAACAACACATTAATAGAGAAATGTATAAAGTATCTGTAGCGTTTCCATTATTTTGTTCAACCTCTGCATATCACTGAGGATAACAGCAGATCAAATCCAACAATTTAAAATATACACTGGAGCAGGCTGGCACCAGATATGATGGGTCACTTCAATAAATTGGTCTCAAAGATGCAAGAACCATACTGCTCTGTCAATGAGCTAAGACAGGCACACAGAATCAGAATCACCCCTTCAGTTACCACGAGATAACCTGAAAAGTGGACTGACAAGTCTACTGCTAAAAATGGTTTGCGGGTGAAGGTGGGTGGGGGAGAATTCCTTCTCATTACTAAAAACAAAAGGGCTCTTAACAATTCAGATTACAGTCTTCTGGGATGCAACATCAAGCTTCTGGTAGATTGGTACCAACAATCTGTTAAAAGATTATATTTCTGCCCTGAAAGGAGGCATTCTTCCAAAATGTTTGTACCTCTCTACCAGACTACATGACTTAATTTCATAGGACTGCATCCTACCTGTGTCTTTCTACAAGTTATATAATAAGAATCAAACAGACATAGAATAAAAAACTAGGTTCTTATTTTCTGTTTTTGTTCACAACAAGTTTTGATTGCATGCTGTCATCATCAAGTGAAATACAACAAAGTTGGCTATATCATACACAGATTAATCTGCGACAATGCATAAAAGGTATAAGAAATATGAAAGGAACTAAAGCATTAATAGAATCAGTCAGACCTGGTCCAATTTTTACAAAACCTGAGTTTAAAGTCATTTATTCATGTTGCAAGTGAACTCAGGACAACTTGTTATGTACTATATACTTATCTTGGTTAATTCTACCAGAATACATATCTTATATTCATATTTGAGGATTTTTATAAATCATATTCTGAAGAATGACTGAAGTTAAAAGAAGAGGTGAAAAAACGTTCTTGAAGTCACAGACTGATGTGCTGAACTATGAAGTTCTTGAAGACTGAATAGCATAGTAGAACATCGGAGGAGGCCAAGGTTGACATCTGATGTGGCGGATTGATACACTTGCAAGTAATGGAGTGTGTTATACTGTAGCTGGATTGTAAGTGATGGGTATGTTTCCAGGAAGTAAATGGCTTCTTTATATTTATACCTCTCATACATTATTACATTTGAACTGATCAGTCCATATTATATTTGGCCCATATTTCAAATGATGGTGACCACATGTGGTTGAAATATGTTATGAACAAAAGAGAAAAAAATACTTTTTTTCTGTGTGTTCGGTAGAGGTTATTATATAACCTACACATGGCTTAAATTTCATAAAACCATGATCTAAATATCAATCGCAATGAGAATCTCAGTTCACACACTGTTGCAACTTAGTAATTTTATATATTTTTATATTAATGCAAATATATATTTACAGAATCTAAATTACAGCCCTATGAGATATGATCCTTCAAAATCCTTTGTCTTAAATATCATAGCAAATGTGTTCGTGAGAACTGGAGTAGTACCACTATTATACATGCCCACTGAGACCACTCTTGCTGTAATAAAGTTGATGTCCAGACCATTCATTCTACAGTCCCCAAAATCAAAGATAGTTTAACTACCTAGGTCCAAATTGTGCAGTGGTGGTTACACATTACTCAGTTAACACCAAATACATTGAGAGTCAACATTTCACCTGTTAATTTCAATACATGTGATAAAAATAACAAACTATGTCTTGCTGTCAAAAACTAAGAAACTTACCACACAACTCTCTGCAGTAAAGTTCATTTCTGGAACTAGAACCCAGTCTTGTATGGAAATATAACAGTATAGTATAATGCAAACATGATATACTTACGTTCCTGGTCTGAGCCATCTTCTGATTTGTCATCTTTACTCTTCATGAAAGGAAACTTTCGGCTGAATGAGAAATTCTTCTTCTTTCTATCTAATGTGGATTGCTGTGAAAAATGTAATGAGAAAGTTTAAACTAATACAACACATACATCTAGCCTTAACACTGTCATGTCCTATGAATCTGAACATATAACACGCCACCTAGTCCAGATTTCTTTGTTTGAATTTAAAAACTGTTGTGTGCAATTTTCTGAATTTGGTACTGAGATCTGCAAGAAACCACCTTTCAGGTATACTATTTGACCATAAAGAAACCATTACTTCCAACTTAAATGTGTTTCCTTGAATTTCAAAGCATTAGACTAAGTCCAGCACACAACCAGAACGTGATTCTTTTTAATGTTGGGAAAAATATCCAGAGGTCCATTTATTTGATACATGATATACCACCATGCCCAATTGTAATTTATTTTTTAATTTTAAAACTTCCAAATTATGTTCAACCAAGACACAGTTTCCTGCATGTGCTTTATACAAAGTGTATATATATATATATGATACAAGATAATTACAGTAATATGTTTATAAGCATGTGTATTTTATGTGTTAATATACCAATATCCACTAAGTGAACAATAAATTTCATACTATTCAATTCAGAGAATACTGACATGAAAACCACTCCAAGGAGTCTAATGACTAAATGGATTTATTTACTTCAAAAAACATCACTTAAGGCAAAATATAAACATGATATAACTGAAAAATAAAGGAGCACTAGCTTGTGTAACAACCCAAAAAAAAGCAGCAACACAAAAATTCCTTTAAACATATATAGTAACACAGTATAAGAAACAAGGTGCCTGCTGTCAGCACTTTGTCTCTCTATGTACTAAACAAAATGACTGGATAAGATACTTATATACATATGTGGAAGGAAGTGAAATCAATTTTCATATCTTCCTGAAATGTGTGTGTTAAAATTGAATTTTACTGATGTAAGAAGACATCATACCATGTACATAAAGGGCATACATTTGGTTCTTTTTCTCTCAATTATACATTTTTAATCAATCATGTTCTTTATTTTAAATACGACATTTTTAGAAATCTTCTGTTGACCAAAATGTCCTACAGATATGTTCTACAGTTAAAATATGAAATCTTAAGCACCTATACAAAGTTACTGCCATAAACATAAATCTGTTTACATCAACAGGATATCCAACCATTCCTCTTGTTACAGTGTGTACAGTGATAGTGTACAAATGACGTCTGACAATTTTGATCTCGAGACACGAGTTCTTCACAAGCACTTTTCCATTAATCTTATACTACTTAAAACACTTGTAAAAAATGAAATCCTTTTTGTGTTAATTTGCAATAAAATTTGAATTGAAGTTCTTCATTTTGAATTGTTTATATAATATTTATATTTTTTACTGTGTACATGCACGCATGCATGTACACACATGTATGTATGTATGTACGATATGTGCTGTCTTTACTACTCAAAGACAGAAGCATGTAATAATTCAAAGTGATGCTCCACAAGATGTGAAGAATCTCTCTAACTGGAACATTTTGCTATCAGTGTCACAGATCTTGTTCTATAAGTAATATTTCATCACCTGCCCTTACAAATTTGTTTTACTTAAACAACTATACATCACAATAAAACACACTCAGGTCTGAAATAAATACTGCATACTCTGCAGGCTTAAGTATTAAAAACCTGACTAGAATGTATGGTGTTACACATAAATGCCAGTATATATTTTTACCTTGTCAAGGATAACCCCTCCAGGCACATGCCCTTGAAATTTGACTGTTCTGTCTCGTGCCCTCTGCTTCCGTTCCCAACGACGTTTGGATGGCACAATACCCATACCTTCCTCCTCGCCTGTGGCAAGGACTCTCCGTGCTTGCCACCATTCATCATCACTTGCATTTGTTACATGAAGGATGTCACCATAGTGGAAAGGTAATCCTCTACTTGGTAGCCCATCATCTTTATTTGGGTCGTAATCGAACAAAGCCCTAAGGTAATCACACATGTTAAAACTATGCCACTTGCTTGCTCTAAGTTGTAATAGTAGTATATATCACCAAACACTAACAACAGTTTGCTTAACCTCTTCTCACCACCAATGGTACATTCCTTGCCTATATTCTACTTTCTGAGAAGTATCTGAATAACTGACAGAAGAGTATTCCCTGAGTTAGTGGTTCTCACCTGGTGGGTCACGACCCGCTGGTGGGTCCCAGGAAGTATTTGTAACAAAAAAGTGGGAAAAGAAAATATTTTATCAACAGAGTAGAGCTGAAGGTGTCAATATTAGAGCACGAGGTACATGCAACTGTTGGCTTGCAAACTATTTACTTGTTACAAATTCTATCAGCAGCTAAAGTCTGAATTTTCTTCATATAGTTAAAGTTAAGATCATATAACAAATAGTATGTTAAAAATATAACAGTGAGATTGTAATTTTACAATACCAACAGCTGATGAGGCAGGTCAAGGTCATTTAAAAAATGACTCAGTGTCTCCTCAAATCACCCAACTGACAAAACTACAACAATTACTCTTTCATACGGCACAAATTCAGTGATCTACGATTACTAAGAATGCTAATGTCATAAACACCACAATCCAAATTTCAGTTTTCTTCACAGGCTACTGCAAATGAATATAATTTGAGAGATAATAAACATAATTCAGACCAGACTGCAGTTGCACCCACTGAATTTGGTGGTTTGGGTTGGTGAGTGTGTTAGATGACTGCTGAGGTTTAGTAGTTCAGAGCTATTGCTGTGAGATGCTGGTAGCTGGGGCATGGGGGCAATTCAGGACCCCCCCCCCTGCTGGAAGCAGTTGCCAGAAGACTGGTGAAGACACAACAGACTGAAAAGACTTTAGTGAACTGCAAAGTCTGAACTAGCAATAGCGCTACAGCTACTTGTAGTTACAAGTTGTGTGTATAAGTGTTCAATAAATCCAGTTATAGTCACTCATACATGTAACAATAGTAAGACTGCAATAATTGCAATTTCAATGCTTTACCTTAACAAATAAAATACTTGTAAGGTGCCAACTTCTAATAAAGGCCTGATTTTGTGTTCAAAATAATATAAAGAGAGCAAGTTTGAGACAAGAGGCTCAAGCTGGAGGGAGAGGGCAATCATAAAGAGTTAACTTTACAATTAGTAAATATACATGATGGCAGGAAATGTTGGTATCCTGAAAACACCTTCAATACCTACTCAAAATGATTATAGTTATCAATTCGTATGTTCTTTTCCTTCAATTTTATTGCTCAAATTAGTGATATTTCACGTATAATACATTTCTGCAGTTTAGAGTTTGGGCAAAACCACAACATTTTGGCTATTCTGCCTCCCCTACACTCATTTCAACATCGCATACATCGTTTTACTTTTTGACAGTGGATCCCACGGGATGGAAAGTGTCCATCTGAAAGGCAAAATTCACCTACCATATTATGCCTTACATGCAAGGCTAATTTCACATAGTGGGGGGACGAGTCAAGTTGGGTTCACTTGGCATGGCGGCCACTGATTGGCCTATCGTACCTGCCCATGTGATTATGATGTTGGAGAATTTGGTGAAATGAAGATTGACAGGGGAAACCAAAGTACTAGGAGAAAACCTACCCCAGCACCACTTTGTCCACCACAAATCCCACTTGACCAGACCCGGGTTTGAACCCAGGCTGCCATGGTGGGAAGCCAGCGACTAACCGCTTGAGCTATGGCGTGACTCTAAATGTAAGGCTAGCTAACTACACAACAAAATTTTGCATACTAATCACACTGCCTTGTTACATAATATAATTTGAAGATGATTTAGAGTTCAGTGATTTCACATACACTTCTTCAGTCATCAATGGAAATTATACTATGAAATAATTTGTGATTACTGAAATCCAGAAAGCTTTCATCCCAACCGCATATTTAAATCACAGCTTCTTCAATTCCCCTCTTTCAAATGCATTTTACTCTTAAGGCAAGAATAAAATTTTTGTTGTTTTAAGACTTTCAAGAAGAGTTCCACTTCGCTGCACACGTATGCCTTGTGGATGTACCTACATTAAAGGTAATATTAATTTCTAGTAACTACAAATAATATATATGGACCCACCTTGAAGTATCAAGTTGCAGCCCCTCATAAAGGCTTATAATCCAAATATTAGCAAAGTTAAAATTTTTAGGCGACTCAAAGACCATAGACTGATCCATATCTAATGACTTACTTTAGCTTTTTAGGTCACTGCTAAACAGGACTGGTGATATAAATCACAAAGATGACCAAAGCAAGGGGAGAGGGGGGCCAGAGGCACATAACATTCATTTACATGATGATGCCCCCCATGACCTATGTTCTAACATCCCTGGTGAACCCAATAGTGTACCTTATCATCAGACTGCAGAGGTTACTGTATTAATTCAAATTGTGAGGTTAATTGTTAATAAGTATAAGAATACCCAAATAACTTCTGTGTTTGTAGATATGAATCAGGCATAGGAAAATATACAAATAAGACACTAATTCAAGCAAACCCTAAAATCACTCAAAACTGAAGTGCCAGATATTAAGCATGTATAAGTAAAGTAAACATTTAGGTTCCTACAGCTCTGGAAGAGAGAAAAGCAGCATACATAAATATCAAATTGTACAACAGACAAAATATACGACACTACATGAGATGGTATATATTTAGGTTCCTACAGCTCTGGAAGAGAGAAAAGCAGCATACATAAATATCAAATTGTACAACAGACAAAATATACGACACTACATGAGATGGTATATATTTAGGTTCCTACAGCTCTGGAAGAGAGAAAAGCAGCATACATAAATATCAAATTGTACAACAGACAAAATATACGACACTACATGAGATGGTATATATTTAGGTTCCTACAGCTCTGGAAGAGAGAAAAGCAGCATACATAAATATCAAATTGTACAACAGACAAAATATACGACACTACATGAGATGGTATATATTTAGGTTCCTACAGCTCTGGAAGAGAGAAAAGCAGCATACATAAATATCAAATTGTACAACAGACAAAATATACGACACTACATGAGATGGTATATATTTAGGTTCCTACAGCTCTGGAAGAGAGAAAAGCAGCATACATAAATATCAAATTGTACAACAGACAAAATATACGACACTACATGAGATGGTATATATTTAGGTTCCTACAGCTCTGGAAGAGAGAAAAGCAGCATACATAAATATCAAATTGTACAACAGACAAAATATACGACACTACATGAGATGGTATATATTTAGGTTCCTACAGCTCTGGAAGAGAGAAAAGCAGCATGCATACAATAGCAAATTGTACAACAGACAAAATATACAACATTACATAAGATGATAAAAGTCATAACAATCATCAAAAGTACAATAGAGAGAAACATAAAATGACCTCCACACTGAATCTGTTTTTCAGCAGATGAAAGATATGTAACTGAAGGCTGGCCAACAATTGGGTAGCTAAAATATGCACTTATCAATAAGATACAGTGTTGGTGATTCTACGAAGCCTGTGAAGTATCTTTGTTACCATGTGCAATGTCAATGGCAGAAGCTTTCCTTTTCCCAGCACCAGACATGTTAGCAGTTGCCCCCCCCCACACACACACACACACAAAAATTAATATGTATTTTTTCCCTATATGTCATCCGATTGACACACAATATTCACAGATCAAAACACCAAGATTAAATATATTTTTCACATATTAGTCACACACATCTGTTTCTTCAACTGAGCATACTTCGGTAATCTTTAAATGGTAAATAAGTTCCTTTTGCTCATCTTGTATACCGTCCATTACTAACTCTTTATAGGAGATGAAGAAAGAAACAAGTGTATTGGTTTGTATTGTAAAAAATACTAAAAAATATTTTTATTGCTTTAAATATGACTTTAAATTCTTACATTAGCATACTGATGCTTTTCAGCGCTCATAATTTATAACATACCATAATATCCCTGCTATCTGAAATTTTGGTTTCATCAATCTTCATGAATGAACCTTAGAGCTGTGTGCCAACACAGGACATAACATTTCATGCATAACTTGTAAAGACATATTTTTGATCTCCGGGTACACTCAAATTAATATATCAATATACAATGAATGAGTCCCAACGTCACTTCAAACTTTCAACACAATTTTATTTCAATCAAGTTTCACATTTCCTGAAATATGCATAATAATTCTTTAATTCTATACCAGGCAGTAATTCTGCTTCCCAGCTACAATTTTTTCAGTTAACATTTTTCATCTGTTTGATGAAGAGGAATATGAAACATAATTTAAATATAACTGTTTCTTGCATCCTGTTGTGTACTTAATCAATATTATAGTTAATTTTACCGACCACACAACACGTTTTTTATTAGTGTCACACTACATGTTTCGACCTCAAGAGGTCATCCTCAGGTGTACGAACACAGTTGCACAATCACACGCAATCACATTCGTTTTTCCACTTATTTCGATCCTGCATCCTGTTCAGGTCCACGCTCAATAATATATGTCAAGTTCTTNTTTTATTAGGATATCATAAATTGGGTTGTAACTATCAGTTAAAGCTTCGTTCATTTGTAGATTTTGCTTAGTTAATTCATATATGTGGAAGCTTTCCAGTGTGTTCAGCATCTTTCCTTTCTTTTCTATGTGGAGTATTTCCATTGCTTTGTCTATGGTGTGATAATTATGCGTTGTGTCCAATATATGTTGGGTGAATTTTGATTTCTGCCCATTCGTTTTTATTTCCCTGATGTGCTCATGAACTTTTTAACCAAGTGGTAATAATATAACTAGTTAAAGTGAACTAAATTTTAAATTTTAACTTTTAACATTTGTATTTTAACTTGTATTTTATAAGAAGAACTTGACATATATTATTGAGCGTGGACCTGAACAGGATACAGGATCGAAATAAGTGGAAAAACGAATGTGATTGCGTGTGATTGTGCAACTGTGTTTGTACACCTGAGGATGACCTCTTGAGGTCGAAACATGTATGTGACAATAATAAAAAACGTGTTGTGTGGTCGGTAAAATTAACTCTAATATTGATAATTTAAATACATACAGAGAGTATTCAAATCAAAAACAATTACGGAGAAGTGTGTGTACACACATAAAAATGGGGAAGTAACTGGACTACTTTTTCAGTACCAAGAAAACTGGAACAAATTTTTAATTACTGCAGGGAAGTGGTAATTAGCAATATTCTGAAAACACTTCCTGAAACTTAACCAGCAACTGCTAGGAACCCTCTTCCACACAGCTTCCTTCCGAAAAAGAATTCAGGCTACATGACCCACTGTAATTAAGTTTCATATCTCTATGCTTCTTTTAACAGTTGATGTTACTGTTGCTATGTGACAAACTCACCGGACATAGAGAGATCGTTTCTGTGAGGTCCTCATGAGGGTGCCAGACATGATCTGCTGGGACATCTGCTGTTTCAGATCATGGATCTTTGCTTCAAAGCGGTTGTACTCTTCTGGCCGGTATTGGGCTACAATTGTCACAGTTTGGCCTGCACCCTAAATACATAACAAACATCACATTATGAAGGTATTTCAAATTAAATATGTATAAAACAAAAGTGATTAATGGCTTTATCAAAGAAGAGCATATGTCAGCTGAAAAATTGTACCTTAGCCTAGTCCTTTTGATGCTGAAACTGCTATTTAAAAGATGAGAAAGTATTAGTATAGTTGAGGTCCATACGCTCATCAACTCTATTCAGAATAAGGAAGAACTGCCTCAGGAGTGGAAAGAGTCTAATATTTTACATATTTACAAAAAGGTGATAAAACTGACTGTAGTTATTAATGTAATCAAATTCATACAAAACTTTATTCAGTATCCTTCTCTCAAGGTGAAGTCCACACATAGATGAAACTACTGTGGATCATCAGTGTGAGTCTCAATGGAACAGATTAACTACTCTATCAGATTTCATGTCTTCATCAGAAACTAGAGAAAAAAAAGGGGGGTGCAATGGGACAGTATATCACCTATTCATAGACTTCAAAAAATCCTAATTGTACAATATTGTAATGCGTAGTACCATTGCTATGCAAGACTTGTGAGAAGGAACACGTGTTACTTGTTAACAGTCGGTAAACACGTGAACTACATCTGAGCTATTATTAGGCCACCACCTGTGACAATAATAGGGTGATTATTGGAACCGGTTTTTTCTGTTGAGAACCCCAGGCCAGCTGAGGCCAGTTCAACTGAGAAAAGTGAAGTGAAGTGAAGTGAAGTGAAGTGAAGTAGTTGGTTGATGAATCTGATAGTTCAGTTGAGAGTTGACAGTTGACAGTTGACAGTTGACAGTTGACAGTTGACAAGAGTTTAGCTGAAAGTCTGCCTGTGAAGAGAAGACTATGAGGTTGGCGTGGAATGGCCGCCAGACTAGGACCCAGTTAGTTGAGGGATGACAGTTGAGTCAAGTTCTCAAACAAGGCTGAGAAGAGATGGCACTGTAGTTGAGTTGACAAATGACAAGAGGCCAGGTATGGAGTGTTAACCAGCGGGTGATGACATCACCATGGAAGATGAAGAATCTCCACCGTTAGAATACATTATCAGGAAACTGCTAGTGGAGGCTGTAATACGTGTAGACTTAAAACACTAGTCTGTGTGTATCAGTGATCTGTACAGTGTAGTTACAAGTGGTGTACGAGTATATAGGTGGTCAATAAAGTCATTCACCAATCCATACCCCATCTATAATCACACAAATGCGTGTGACAATATACCATTGAGTTTGGCATACACATACAACTTGTTTGGCTAATTAAAATATGATTAAATGAGGTGGTGGTGATAAAGGTAATAAAAAAAACTACCAATATGACAACAACAACAGTAATGACGTATGGGACGGATTTATTAATATGTAAGTATTGATTTTTCACATGTTAAATTTGTGAGACATAACCTTACAGTTACACACTGTCACTACCTCTGAATGACTTGCAACATTTCTAACAGAATTCAAAGGTATGTTTATTATATACTTCCATGCCAATTTCACATGCCTGATTAAATGGTTCATTAGTCACTGCCACCAAACTGAAAACTAAATTTAGATATGTGTCCACCATTTTGTTGTTTTACACACTACAAAAGATTACAGATCGCAGAGCTTCATATGGTTACTTTACTTTATACAGATATGGTACATGATTTGGTAGATTTCGGTGTGTTACACCTTGGAAGCATTCAATACTGTAACTACAATAATAGATGATTTGCAAAGAGAGTTGCAAGTGGTAAATTGAGAGTGAAATTTATACATATTTTACTAGGAATATATGCAGACTATTATGTTCAGATCCTTTAGAGCAAGTGTAATCATTATCACCTAATATCATGTATATAATGTACTATCGTTATCACCTAGCATTTTAAACTCAGCGCTGTGATGCTCCTCACAAATGTGCTACATTACCTTGAGCGCCTGTGCGGCCTCTTCATGAGTGGCAGAACGTAAGTTGATGCCATTTACACTGAGAATCTGGTCCCCACGTCGCAACTCTCCACTCAAGTCTGCTGGACCACCAGCCAAAATGAATGACACAAAGATGCCTTCACCATCTTCTCCACCTACTATGTTGAAGCCCAATCCAGTATTGCCTTTGCTAAGTACCACAGTGCGTGCCTCCCTGCAACAACAAAGAAGTCATATCTGCATTGATTTGAAGACTTTCTTTTTTCGTTAATAGATATCTGACAATGTCTATCAACTGGGTAGGTATTATAGCACTCAATCATAAGAGAAGAATAATAATACTGGATGGATGGGGTAGCAAACTCCTGATGATTGTCTTGTATCGGTAGTTCAATAACTGAACGTATTCCTATATTATATATTGTCTTGTACGATCGAAACATGTAGCAGGAATAAAAAGCCTACTGTAAAACATTAAAAGTGAGAATATTTGTTGTGTGAAGGTTAACCTAACTCCTATATATATGTTAAGTATCCTGGTATCTGCACAAAGTGACTTAGGGGAAAAAATACAGATCCTTAAACAGGACAGCTGGTACCAGGCCAGGTTCCAACTCATTAAGTAACATATTTCTAAAAGTGATATATTTTACTGTACTTCTATTGCAAGAGAAGGGAATTTCAAGAGATTAAAACTAAGTTTATGGAATTCAGTTGCTGTGAGACATAAATAGTTTTCTTTGCAGAGAAGAATTGGAAGTGAGAATTTGTAATGGTTTTTAATTACTTGATTTGACTGTCTGTCCTTTTAAATATTTACAGGGATAGGTATGTCACAGGAAGGCTTCTTTTAATTTGAAAGTGAGCACCAGCTGCAATACAGTCTGAAAAGTTGCAGTCTCAAACCGGAAACATCACAGCTACTTATTTTCAGATTTCTTTAACCTTGCTATTCAGTTGGCTGTCTCTCCACCCCATAATTCATTCGGGACAACATCAATGGCATAACTGACAATTTTTTTGAAGAACTAGGAATGGCCAGAATGGCAGCAGAGACCCACATATCCCTGTACTTTTTAAATGAATATCACTCAAATGATGTGATCAAATGGGTACCACAACTATTTCAGAATCATAAGATCCTGGGTAAAATCTAGGCCAGGCATTTGCACCATTCATTGTAGGTCTTTTCAACGTTGTGTGTTTGAGATGCAAGCACTTCTACTGGGGTGATCTTTTTAGGAAGACTGCAAATTAACATAGCAACCACAAAATATATAGCACCTAGGATAGCGTAGTCGGTACAGCGACTGGCTATGGGCTGGGCGACCGAGTGGTGGGAGTTTGAGTCCCGGTAGGGTCAAGAATTTTCACTTCTCCAATCGTCCAGACCGGCTCTGGGGTCCACCCAAGCTCCTATACAATGGGTACCGGGGGCACTTTCTCGGGAGTAAAGCGGCCGGGGCGTGAAACTGACCATTCACCTCCAACTAGTGCCGAGATCAAGCAAATGTGGATCTATACTCCCCATACGTCTTCATGGCGTAGTGCTTAACTAGTTAAGCACAAGGACAACTTTACCTTCACCTTACCATAAAACATATTCTGGTAGTACAACAATAACTTTAAGCATCGTCATAACACTGATGTTAAACCTGCAACAGGATGCCATGAGTACATTTACTAGTAATAAAACTTACAAGATCTAATTGTTTGAAACTCAAAATGCACAAGCCAATGGCGAGCGTGCTTGATGATGGTTAAATGGGTGCTTTTCTTCTTTTTTTGAAGAGAGTGGAAGTGTTGAGGCAAGACGGATGTGCATTAAATTCAACTACCAATAATCTGAGGCATTTCAAATTCACTGGCAGTAACAGCCTGAAATGCAAACTTTCGTCATCAGTCTCTACAAAATGGGACGAGTTACTGTGAAAGCAGACTGAATGTCATCAGAAATTTTAAATGATACAAACGTCATCGGAACAGCCCATACTTCCCAACTTCACACGACGGTATAAACACCATCATATTCTTATTAATGAAGAACTATCACAAAAATTAGTACAGTATGCGCCAAAAACTATAGTACTGAAACTCGCGCATCTAGAACGAGCATGTGCGCTTGTCGACGGGGCATAGCTCCAGCCGCACGTGTTCCCAGCAGTGAAAAGGAAGTTGTGTTGTGCAATTGTTGTTGGAAATGGGTCTCTCGGAGGAAAAAGTATTCATAGTTGAGTATTATTTCCTCTCATACAGAAGTGGTCGCCAGACAACTCGCTTCCTTAGTTTTGAGCGGCCAGATGTTACCGTCCAGAAACCGCTACACAGTACACGTGTGACGGTATGATGTGCCGTCTCAGCACACGGTATATTAGGCCCCTATTTCATTGAGGATGAGGAAAGCAATGCTCTTACCGTCACCCAAAAACGCTACAGGGAAATGGTGATCGGACCATTTCTTCAGGATTTGACAAGTTGCAAGGGGCCTTGACATAAATAGACAGTTGTATCTTTTCATTTCAGTACTGTATTTTTGGCGCATACTGTATCTACTGGTAATTCTGTATATAATGGAATGACAGTTAAGATGTAAGACAAAACGGCAAAGTTGTCCCTGTGCTTAAATAATTAAGCACTATGTCATGAAGATACATGAGGGAGTGGATGCGTAGAGCCACATTTCCTTGACCTTGGCAATGGCTGGGGGTGAGTAAAAGTTAAGAAGTTGGATGTCAAATTCTAAGAGCTGACACAATTTCATCACATACAAGGCAACAATGACAGGATTCGCTTGATACGCATGAATGAAATTAGTTACCAAATAAGTCCAAAGATAAGGCGACCCAATATTTTTCCAATATGAAAACCAGGAAATGCGTTCTTTTTGTCAAAACTGAATTTGTCTTTTAGTTCTGAGGGTTGTAAATAAAAAAGAAGTTAAAAAACTACCATTAAGAAATAGTAATACAGTATATATGGCCGCACCACAGCTCAAGCGGTTAGTCTCTGGTTTCCAACCGCGGCGCCCCGGGTTCGATCCCGGGGTCTGGTCAAGTGGGATTTGTGGTGGACAAAGTGGCGCACGGCAGGTTTTCTCCGAGTACTTCGGTTTCTCCTGCAAATCTTCATTCACCAATTGCTCCACAATCATCCTCACCCTCACCTATCATCTGGGGCTGGTACAATAGGCCAGAAGTGGCCCCAGTACAAGGGACTTAGTCCCATCCCACTAGCAATAAAAAATATATAGTATAGTACAGTATATATATGAATGTCTGATGAAAATTCACTGTTTTTTATGAAAGTCAAACCTCGACCTTGTTTCAATATGTGGCAAAAAAAAAGTTCTTAATGTTAAAGGCAATCCCTCTTTTTAGATCATTCTATGTAAAATATTTTGAACAGCATATGCATATCTGTGTTCAAATTGCATTCACAGGCATAACTGACTGTATTAACAACACTTCGTACCAAAATTTTCGGCGATTTCAAGAAACAAACGGTAGAAACAATTACGTTCACGTTGTTTCTTGGAGCTACACCATTCTGCTCCTGTCTCTTAGGTCCTTTCTTTCGCCGTTAACAACTCATATAACGGCATACTATACATATGCGGGACAGAGCGCCGTAAGTGGCTGCTTATTATTTCTGCATGAGCGCAGACACGTTTATAACACATCAGGTCGTACCACACAGGTGTGTTTCATCGATAAAAGAACAATGAATATATAGTGAACAATGAGGGATCATTTCTATAAAAGCAAAACATTCAGGCGGACTATCCTTTTATAGCGAATTCAAATCTAAATGCTGTACTGCCTAGCATTTCGACACTCTGACAGAACACTTTGCCCTTTCCTCATTAACGTGTATTACTGCGTGGATCACAATATTATTTATTACTCGTTGTATCATAACATCTAGCTGCTGTACAAATTTTGCACTGCGGTCTGCTTCAGGCTGCAGCGGGTTCATTCCGCAACAAGAATGAGGCATAAGCTGGAGAAGGAATACATAGAAACAAATAAATTAGCCCTTTAAGGCAGGATTTCTTCTAAATAATAGATAAGTCAGCTCATGAGACGTACGAGGTCTCCGCTATAAAAATGAACCTTTTAATGCTGTTTAGGGAAACAATAGCTGTTTACTGTGAGAACCATACGAAACCCTCTGTGGGAGGAATGTAGAGTTTAGCATGTTAAAGAGGGTGGTACACTGTGGTGCACGACATTTCTTGGCTAGTTAAACTACTACAAGCATTCGCGAAGGGCTTTGCGCGCACCCACCCACACACACACACACACACACACAAACACTAAACATCCATGTCTTGAGTGGGATTCGAACCCATTATTCCGGCTTTTGAGCGAGGGAAGAGTGCATGC